TGAGTGTGATATATATGTGTGTGTATGTGTGTGAATATGTGAGTGTGTGTGTGTGTGTGTGTGTGTATGTGTGTGCAAAAGTGAGCAGGTGTGTGTGTGAGAACTGGGTGAGTATATCTAGTATGAATGTATACACAAATAGAATGACAATATGGTCGTAGACAAATGTGTGACTGTGTGTGTGTGTGAGGGTTGGCATGTGTGTGAATGTGTCTGAGTGTGTGTGAGCAGAGTGTGCTCCTGGGCCCTTTCCCTCTCTGGCCTGAACACCCTTGGTGGACAGGGATGGGGACAGTACCAGCAGAGTCTGGTTCCTAGCACTGTCCCACGAAGTACAGCCAGTCTTCCTTGGCTGCTCTCCCTGTGCACCACCAGCCCGAAGCCATCCTCAGCTTGCAAGCACACAGATGCCTGCATCTCCATCTCTCACACCCAGTGACTAATTAGTGCATCTAATTAAATCCCCGCTGGAGAGAGGGGCAGGCTCTCTGATGCTCCAGAGACCGGGCAGTGCAGCCTTGGAAGGCTCCTCCCCTCCTCTGTACAGTTAGTGTTCCTGCTTGGAGTCTGGAAGGAAGGAAGGGATGCTGAGGGCTCCCACAGGCAGGACTCTTGCTCCCCAAATGCAACACACCTACTGTGTGTGGCATAATGTTCAGGACTTTCCCGGGAGGAGGTGGGATGAGAAGCCAGCAGGATAAACAGCCTTTCTGGTCTGTGCCTGTCCCATTCCAGCCTTCTCTGTCCTTCATGGCCCTAGCTCATCTTTGGCTGCTCTTCGTCCCCTCCTGAAGGCATACAGCATCTTTCAATTTATCAGCCCGCCTCCTCAGATAGAAATGAACGAGAAGACTAGAGCAATAGCTCAGTGGTAAAGAGCACTTAAGGGCCAGAGTTCAGCTGCAAGCACCCACACAGGGTGGCTCCAGGGGACCCAGTGCCGCCTTCTGGCCACCTTGGGCATCTGCAGCACATACATACACACACGCACTGACATATGCACACACACATGCACATGAATTAAATCTTTTAAAAAGGGGGAAATCTTTTTATGCCAAAGACCTTGCTTCATGTCTGTACTGAGCCCTGTGGTCTACTCAGTATGGGGAGCCACAGGAAGGTGATGGAGTCACCCAGGGGAGCCTTGGGGAGGCAGAAGGGACATCCAGGTCCTGCCCCAGGCTCTAGTCATGGACAATCCCTAGATATTATGTTGACACGTTTTCCCTGCCAGCAGAGCCAACATGGAAATAACCTGCTTGTGATTCACTTTGGATGGAAACAAAGAAGAGACAGGGCAGTCCCCCAGGAAGGCTAGGCATGGCTGAGACTTGACCCATAGGAGACAGGACATGGGAGCATGATCATCAAATGACAGGGGCCCTCAGAAGTCAGGGGTCTGGATTTTGTTCTTTACTCCTCCCATCAGGCTGTCACTGGCTGCCAGGAGCCAAGGATGGGGCCATGGGACAAGGTAGCTGAGGGAGTTTTCTGGACCAGAGGCAGTTGTGAGTTTTCGCAGTGGTTTCCGATGAATAGGCCTGAATACCTGGATAAGGACAGCCCTGTCCCCCTTCAGCCTCTAGTGAACTAACCCCCAGGGTCCTTGTCACACTGGGTATGGCTTTGAACCTGCCTCAGAAATAAGGAAAGGCGATGCTAGGATATGAGATTTTTCATCTTAATTCTGCATCCAATGACGGTTATTCTAATGTGAACATATCTGGTGCCTTAGTCTGTTGGGCTGATGGAACAAAAACCCTGCCAACATACGGATACACAAGAGAAACATGTCACCCACCATCCCAGAAGCAGGGAAGGCCACCAGCAAATCTAGTATCTGATGAAGATGGCTGTAACTCTTGACCCTCCCACCTCAGCCTTCCAGGGCTGGGATCCCAGGTGGGACCCCATGTCCACCAGTGTCTTTTATAAGGGCATAGACTCCACCCCCGGGTGCAGCCCTCATGATTCAGCCATAGCCTAAAGGCCTCATCTTGTGATGCTGTCACATCAGGGACCAGGTTTTAGTAGAGGTATCTCCGGGGACTCAGATCCCTGAACCATAGCAGCCTGGTTCGAGGTGTGATTATCCCATCTGGTCACTGCCTGGCTCCCCTTGCCCACCCCTAATTGCCCTTGCATCATCTGTCCCCAGCATTCCCACTGGCCTCTACCCTGGAGAAAGAGCTGCCCCCCACCCCAAGTCAGTACCCAAGCTGCCAAGGACCCAAACAGAGAGACAGGCCTGTCTTCTGAGCTTGAAAGAAGGGGCCCAGGAGAGAGCTTGTGGGGTGAGGCCTTTCCCTGAGGCAGCTTGCTAGGGTGGAAGAGAGGGAGACTGAAGAACAGCCATAGAGGGGGGGGGGTGACTGTCCCTGAGGCCCTGAGCCACCTCAGCTGGGTGTCTAGATGCCTGGGGCTTCCTGGAAAGGTTCAGACCTGTCAAAGGCATGGCCAATCATGTACCTGATGTCAGTCCCTTCTTCCTTGGGTTCCACTGAGGAAGAGACAGAAGTCTAAGGAAGTGGGAGGATTCTCAGGCCCCAGGAAACAAAACATGCCTGGTCTAAGCTGGCCAGGGAAATGCTGTCTAGCTTGACTAGCGATGGGTTCATCAGTGGGCATATGACCCACTTTAGGCTAACCAGCTGCAGGGAAGACCTACTGATTCCTGGTATATCCCAGGATCAAAGCCTGCTCCTTCTCCTCCTTTCTGCCTGGAATACAGCCGAATGCAGGTGAATTGCCCAGAGCTGTGGTGTTACCTTGTGACCAGAAGGCAACAAGCCTGAAGGTTAAAAAGTCCTGCCCCAGGACAGTCACCAAAGCCTCCAGAGTCACATGCTACAGGAACCCCTTTTCTTCTTCTTTAATAATTTATTTTTATTTTATGTGCATTGCTGTTTTACCTGCATCTAAGTCAGTGATAGGGTGTCAGTTCCCCTGGAACTGGAGTTACAGACAGCTGCGAGCTGCCACGTGGGTGCTGGGAATTGAACCTGGGTCCTCTGGAAGAGCAGCCAGTGCTCTTAACCACTGAGCCATCTCTCCATCCCAGCCCCCAAGGAACCTCCATTCTTTATAACATAGTCATTTACAACAACAGAAAATGAACCAAGACAGTCCCCACCTACATGGGTAGCCAGCATAGCTTCTCCGATATGAGCAAGCCTCACAACAGAAATGGTTAGAACTCTGCAGTGGTTGCCTCCCCCAACTGCCCCCAGTAAAGCCCGTGGATGGATAGCCACAGGGTTGAGGGTGCATGCCTGCTCTGGAGCCAGGTGGACTTGGAAATTAATCTCATGCCTCCTAGGATTTCCTCGAGACGCTCTGGACTCTATATTCATTGTTGTAACACACTCGGGACACACATTTGCCAGGTGTGTTGGTGGTGTACTCCTGCAATCCTAATTAATATTTAGGAGATGAAGCAGCAGAGGGGATCACGGTTTAAGGTCATCCTCGGCTAGATAGTAAGTTCAGGCCATCTGAACTCCAGGAAACCCTTTATTAGTCAGGGTTCTCTAGAGTAACAGGACTTACAGAATGAATCTCTACATATACAGAAAGGGGGTTTATTAGAAGACTTACAGGCTGTGGTCCGGTTAATCCAACAATGGCTGGCTCTGAACCATGGTCCAAGAATCCAGTCCTTGTTCGGTCCCTGAGGCTGGATGTCTCAGCTGGTCTTCAGCACGCACACACGGGAATCCTGAAGAAGTAGCTCTAATGCTAGCCAAGGGATGGATGTGCTAGCAAGACAAGGCAAGCAGGCAGACAGAAAAAGCTTCCTTCTTCCACGTCCTCACACAGGCTGCCAGCAGGTGTGGCCCATGTTAGAGGTGGGTTTTCCCAGCTCCAAAGATCTGGATTCAAGTCCTGTCTTCTCACCTCAAAGATCTGGATTAGAAGTGGATTTTCCCACTTCAAATTAAGCAAAAGTCCTCCCAGGTTTGCCCCTCAATTTGGGGCATTTTAGTTAATTCCAGATGTAGTCAAGTTGACAACCAAGAGTAGCCATCACAGACTCTGTCTCAAGAAATCAAACCAGGGCCAGCAAGATGGCCCAGGGTGTGAAAGCTCTTGTCCTGACAGCCAGACAACCTGAATTTGATCCTCACCCTCCTAGAGGCAAAAGAAGGAGAGAACCAACTCCCCCATTTTCCTCTGACCTCCTGTTGTGTGTGATTTATCTTTTGAGCTGAGCCACCGCCATCTTGGGGAGCTCAGCTGTGCCCCCTTGCCAAAGGATCATCCCAGCTGGACTTGCTGACTGTTCACCTCGTGGAGGGGTGGGAGGATCACAGACCCTCACCTGAGCTGTTCTGACCACCAGTTATGCAACTCTGCCTTAATTGCACGTGGCCTCTGGGAGGAGTTAAAGTGTATAGGCTGGGAAGACTAGGGCAGGGGCTCCATCTCTGTAGCTATTGGGGATCCCTCACCCCCACACCCCTGTAAGTAGCGACTCGATTGTGTTCTGTAAAGGAGCCCAATAAACTCACTGGTTTATGAACTTTGGCAGGATCATGTCACTTGTCATTGGGATCTTGGGAAGAGGGGTAGACATCGTTTATGGCTCCTCCTGGGGAGGAATTTTAGTGATACCCCACATGTGAGCTGTGTCAAGCACATCCCCCAACCCCACTGCCCTTCATACTAATAAATACAAGTATGTTCTTTTAAAGAATAAATAAGCCCAACCAAATAGGCACACAAAAAGAAAACTATATACATGTTCAGAATTGCTGTATGGATTGGAGATAGCAGCTTATAATAATGCCCGTCGGTGGAAAACAAATGATTTTCCAGTTATCAATGTATATTTCAATATACCAATGGGAAACGCTTTAGGATAGGGCTGATCCTTGGCTTAATGCGTACAGGTGCTTGCTGTGTGGGCCTGAACACCTGAGTTCAGTCCCCAGAACCAGACATAAAGTGTAAAATGGCTAGCATTCATTAAAAAAAAAGATAACAGACCCACAGTGATCTAGATTTTTAAGGATTTTAATTAGCTATTTTGTATATGTTCAAGAAACCAGAAAAAATGGGTGAAGAGATAAGAATGCAACCTTCCATCAGAGAATTAGAACCTTTAAAAAGAATCAAATGGACACTGTAAAACTGAAAGTGAAGGCTGGAGAGATGGCTCAGAGGTTAAGAGCACTGCCCATTTTTCCAGAGGTCCTGAGTTCAATTCCCAGCTACCACATGGCAGCTCACAACCATCTGTAATGTAGTCTGGTGCCCTCTTCTGGACTGCAGGGATACATGCAGGCAGAACACTGTATACATAATAAATAAATAAATAAATAAAAACCTGAAAGTGAAAGTAATGAAACTAAGAATCCAACAAGCCCTGGACTGGGGAATGCAGCTTGCCTTGGTGCACAAGGACATGGCTTTGTCTGCATTATTGCAAACACTGGGCATGGTGGCACACACATGAAATCCCACGTGTAATCCCACGTGGAGGAAACAGGATTTGGAGCTCAAGATAACCTTCAAGTACTTAGTAGTTGGAGACTAGCTTAGGTTACATGTGTCCCTGTCTCCTTGGGGTGGGGACTCAACAAAGCTAGCCTGGGCTACTAGTTAGCTAGCTAACTATATGGGTTTAAAAAAATATTAGGAGCCAGGCAGTGGTGGGTTCACGCCTTTAATCCCAGCAGCTGGGAGGGAGAGGCAGGTTGATCTCTGTGAGTTCAAGGCCAGCCTGGTCTACAAAGCTACACAGAGAAATCCTGTCTTGAAAAACAGAGAGAGAGAGAGAGAGAGAGAGAGAGAGAGAGAGGCAGAGAGAGAAACATTAGGCCAACAGAAAAGAGGATCATGCTAGGTGCATAGAAAAAAATCCAACTTGAAGCAAAGACATGGTGTGTTGTATTGTCTTTTATACAAGAAAGGAAGGGGGGGCTGGAAAGATGGTTCAGTCGTTAAGAGATTGTACTGCTCTTGTGAAGGACCGGAGTTCAATTCCTAGCACCCACATCAGAGGAGCTTGAAGCTCCAGATCCAAGTGAATTTGACTCTTGTGGTCTGCAGGCCCCTGCACTCATGTGCACATATACATATACACGTAAGGGTGAGTACACACACACACACACACACACACACACACACACACACACACACTTAAAATAATAGAAAGAAGTCTTTTAACAAGGAAGGGCATAGGAATGGGTTTGCATGTGCCTCTAGAAACTTTGGAAGTACTTAAAAAATGTTCTTGTATGTGGAAATCAGATATGGAGGAGAAACATGAACATGAGGACACAGCCTGTTGCCCCACACTTGTCTGCATTGTTTTTACATTTAAAGCTGTGGGATGCATGGCAGATTCAAAATAAGCAAATAAAATTCAGGGCCTTTCATCTGCTTTCCAATAAACGTTAGTTGGTGTGACTTCTTTCCCAGGTGGTCTATTTTGACAACAGTCCACTCTGATTTACTTTCTTAGGTGAAAGCTGAGCCATCTCCCCCCATATCTTACATGTGTGGTCCTGGCTTGTCCCTGAAGAAAGGCAGAGAGCACATCCAGTTAGCCTTCCATGCGACAGCTATAATGGCCTCGGCTACTTTTGTTATTATTGTCTGACACGTTTCTCACGCTGTTAACATCTCTTGCCAATTTCTCCTGAGAGTGGTGTCTTCATGCTGCCGAGAACAGAACACAGTGAGGGAATTAGTTCTTCACCCACAGGGACTGTCACCTCCTTTCATGCAGTGACTCTGCTTTCTAGAAGAGAATTTTGTTCTTTTAGTTATACGTAGAGGTGTGTGTATGCCAGTGTGTGAGTTTATGCACATGTGTGCAGTACCCTTTGCAGCCAGCAGAGGGACTCAGGTTCCCTGGAGTTGGAGTTACAGGTGGTTGTGAGCTACCTGACATGGGTGCTGGGAACTGAACCTAGGTCTTCTGAACCGGCAGTTCACAGCTGCTGAGCCATCTCACAGCCTCCTTCTGTTTCTTTTAATGTGGCCAAAAGTGGATACACTAACTACTAATTGATGACTAACCCAGGTCTTCACAAACTTCTTACTCCTCACTCCCTCACCCCCTTCTGAATGTTTGCAGATGGTAAATACAAAATTTCTTCCAAGTCTTATCATGGTTCTGTTCTTTGACCTGTCAAGGTCTTTTCCAAACTGATTCCTGTAAGATCTGAGCCACCAGCAGGCTAGGCAAGATTACACAAGGACTTTCAGACAAGGTGCTGAGTATCCAACGGGTACGAAGGACACACACTTGGCTTTTCTTTATGTTTGGAGGGGATTTGGTGTTGGATAGTGTGGACTGCCAGCCTGACAGAATCTAGAATCTGGGACTTGGGCCTCTGCCTGTGGTGGGGTTGGTTACCTGGATTATATTGAGGTGGGAGGATTTGCCTGTGGTGGGTGGGAACGTGCTGTGTAAATGGAGAAAGGCCTCCGAACAGCATTCATTCATCACTCTCGGCTTCCTGATTGTGGATGTGCCGTGACCAGCAGCCTCAAACTCCCGCTGTCCTGACATGATGGACTATACCTTGAACCTCAAGCTAAAATAAACCCTCCCACTTAAGCTACTCCCATCAAGGTATTTTATCTCAGAGACAGCATCTTCCCCTGACCCAGCAGAAACTGCAGGCTGTGACTGTCTCCTCTTGTCTCAGATAAGCCTCGCTTCCGTGGCCTCTAAACAAACGCTTTGCACTTTATGTTTTATAAATGTCACCATCCTAAAACGCACAATCCAGATATTATTTAAACTATATTTGGAGCAGTGCAAACACCACCACCATTAATTTTTGAGCATTTGCATTACTTCCCCAAAGAAACCCTGTACCTATTAGTCTCCATTGGTCATCACCACACCCACCCACTCCCTAACCCCAGGGGCTATTAATCAGTCTTCTGCCCTATAGACCTGTCCTCTCTCGATGCGTACAGTTGCTAAATTTAGTGGCTAGATTATTGCATTGATGATTGACTCATGACACCTGGTGTTTTGAAGGTTTGCCTGTGGGATGGTCCGTGTCACTATTTCATTCTGTGTGGATATTCCACATTGCTCATCTTGCCATCGGTAACGGGTACCTTGTCTGTTTCCACTTTTGGCTGTTGTGAGCAGAGCCTGTCTGGGCAATCCTGCTAAGGATTCTCACGCAGACACAAATCTTCATTGCTTACGTGTGGAGGAGAAACCCCAGCGGCACCTTCCCTGGGCTGCACTCCTGTGTTGCTGTTTGGTTTTACTCTAGCCCCACATTGGGCACCAAAACGTAGTTGCCAGTTTTTTACTCTTTGTTCTTTTGGCTCTTTTGTGGGCCCAACACCCAGCTCTCAAATAAATCACATGGAGGCTAATTATTTCTTATAAATGTCCAGCCTTAGCTTGGACCTTAGCTTATTTATTTATTTATTTATTTATTTATTTATTTATGCCAGTGTTTCTTATCTGAAATTATCCAGTCTAACGTTTGTTTCTGGGCTTTTATCTTTTTCTATTTTTGTATACCTTACTTTCACTCTAACCCCGTGGCTGACTCCTGGAAAAATTTTTCTCCTTGTTCTCTTGTTCCTTTTCTCTCCCTCTCCCCCGATTTCTGCTCCTATTTATTCTCTCTGCTCTCCAGCCCCTCCTATCCTTTCTCCTGTCTCGATCCCTATTGGTTATTCAGATGTTTTAGACAGGCAAAAAAAAAAAAAAAAAATCACAGATTCACAGAGTTAAAAAAATGCAACATAAAACCCAACGCATCTTTACATCATTAAAGCAAATGTTCCACAACATAAACAAATGGAACACACCTTAAAATAATATTCCAGAACACTCCTGGACTGTGTAAAAGGACAAAGAGACCTGAGCACTCATCTCTCTCGGATTTCTGACTATGTATGCAATGTGATCAGTCATCTCAGGTTTCTGCTGTCACCACGTCACCACGATAGATTGTATCCTACAACTGTAAGCCACGACAAACCCTTCCTCCCTTAAGCTGCCTTTTTCCAAGTGTTTTTAGCTCAACAGGGGAAGTAACTGATACAAATAGGGTCTCCTGGGGCTGGCCTTGAACTCCTGATCCTGCCTCCACCTCCTGAGTGGGGGGATGACCAGTGTGTGCTATGTTAGCTGACGGTTTGCATTTCTCCTCACCCACCCACGTTACGGCACTCCTTGTAGGTAGAAGTCGGGGGTCTGTAGGGTGGCTAGAGCTCTTTTTAAAGCTGTCTCTACCTGCCCCAGTCCTCTCTGCCACTTTCCCCCTCCCTCCTCATATCTCCTTGACTTAATTCTCAAATGGGCTCAGGAATCTTCCTGAGGGAAATCCCATATGCAAGCCTACTGGAATCTCACCAGTTAAGGTCTCAGTTGGTACCTTGGTTATAAGATCTCAATGTATGTGCACTGCCAGCCATGGCAGGCTAATGAGGGCTTCTTCCTAGTCCCTCAGTGTCCCTTCAGACACATAGAAAAGAAGCAGCTGCAAGGTAGCCCTGTGTGGCCTACACTCCCTGCACCTATTCAGGCTTACTAGCTGGGGACATTAGGAGGGCCCCAAGACACATGCCTCTCCAGCTAACAAGCCAGGCCCACATGGGAGCCTAATAAAGTACCATCTCATCCTGGGCGTGGAGGTACATGCCTATAAATTACAGCGCGAAGGTCAAGGAGTTCAAGGTCAACCTCAGCTACAAGTTACATGGTGAGTTCAAGGGCATTCTGGGATACATGGGACCCTGCCTTAAAATAAAAACAAATCAAACAAAAACCAAACAATACAGAGTAGAATGGAACTGCAGTCAGGACTCTGCTGTAGCTCTGCCACTAGCCATGGGGACCCTGAGAAAGTGACACCTTCTCTGTGGTTCTGTGCTCACACTGATAAAGCACCAGGAGACCCTGGATGTCACAAGTGACACACCTTGGCTCTAAAATAGAGTTAACAATTCCTGTTCTCCTAAAGAAATGAAGATAAACTTAACCCTTGCTGCCAGAGTGTGGCTGAGTCCCCATGAGTACCTAGGCAGACACAGGGTGGGACAGGGTGAACCGGCAGAGCCAGCTGAGCTTGGGGAGGGAGGGCAGATGGTCCTCAGACCTCAGCACCCCATTATCCTCTCTTGGAGTTATTACGTCACTCAGAGTCTTGTAGGTGAAAAGGTGGCCTGGACTCAGGCCTGCTGGACCCTCCTCTCCCCTCTTGCCCATCCTGTCTGTTTTCTGGGTTCATCTCTGCAATAGGGGAGCACATGTAGGGGTTCCTGCATAAGCTGAGGAGTTCAGTCAGACCAAACCTCATCTAGGGAGATCCTCGGTTTCCCATGCGACGGTCTTCCTGCTGGCACCCGCATTGACACATCCCTGCTTCATTATTTAAACTAGCCCTGTGTATGTGAGCACCAGCTTAGGGGTCAGCTGGTTCCAGCGTGGGCTCTGGCCCAACTGCCCTGTGACTCTGTCTTCCAAGCCCTAGCTTTCTCAGCTTTGAATTTTCCTTCTAACTGGGGACAAAATTGGTTATTCTTTGAGAATATATAGTTTGGAAATTAGCCCAGGTCACAAATCTCAGTTAGCTATCAATGGATACAAAATGAGCTATTCAGCAGGGTGAGATGGCTGAGCAGGTAAAGGCACTTGCTGTCAAGCCTGAGTAGCTGAGTCTGATGCCTGGGACCCTCAAAGAGAAAGAAGAGAACCGACTCCCAAAAGCTGTCCTCTGACCAACATCTGTATTCCCAGCCATGTGTACACCTACACACATGGGCACACACAAATAAGTAAGTGTAACTCTAAAAAGTTAAACAGCCTTCACAACCTGTTGAATTGGTTAAAAAAAATGCATGCAAATAAACCAGGAATGGTGGCACATATTTGAAATTCTACAACTTGGGAGCTGGAGGCAGGAGAACCAGGAATTCAAGGTTATGCTTGCCTACATAGAAAGTTCCAGTACAACCTGGGCTACACCAGGCTGGTCCAAAGCCAAACAAAAACAACCAACCAACCAACCAACCAAACAAACACCTCAAGAAAAAAAAATTAAATAAAAATAGTTGGGCATGGAGGCTCACTCCTATGGGATTCTGAGGCAAGGTGCAAGCCTGAGGCCTAAGCTACAAAGTGAGGCCTTGCTTCAAATGGAAAGAAGCAGGGTGGGGTTGGAAAGCAGTTAGGAGGACTGGCCACTCTTGCAGAGGACCTGGGCTCAGTTTTCAGCACCTATATGGATGTGTAAATCCAGTTCCAGGGAATCCAACACCTCTGTGTGCACATGGTGTACAGACATGCAGGCAGATAAAATATCTGTGCATATAAATAAAGCGTTTTTAAAGGAAGGAAGGAAGGAAGGAAGGAAGGAAGGAAGGAAGGGAGAGGGAAGGAAAAAAGGGTGGAGGAAGAAGGCAGCGCAGCCTTGGGAGGAAACAAGAATATGGGCTCTGAAAGTCTCTGCTGCCCCAGTGTTCTGTAGACCAGTCTGCAGCTCCTGCCAGAGAGGACGACTCACACCCTTCAACCTGGCAGGTTGTCACACATTTGGAAATAAATCCCAACGAAATAGCACAAATGGAGAAAAGCAATTCTCACTAATATGGTTACCCGGAATGTGAAATAAATTGGAAAGGGTCCAAACCAGTCATTACAGCACAGAGCCTACAATGTGAGGCTACAGAGCCCCCGCCAGCCAGCAGCCGCCAGCAGCCTCCCTAGGTCTCTCGCTCCTCCTTGGCAAAAACATCAGCAGGGCACACAGTTGCCCAGAATACACATTCCATTTCCCAGACTCTTTTGCAACTAAGAGTGGCCTTGTGACAAAGTCCCAGCCAATGGACCAAACATAGGACAGCCCCAGGGGACAGCACAGTTCCCATGTTACCTATGTCAGTAACAGACATACCCTTCCTGATGCCTTCCTCCTCTGAGCTGGCTGGAATGCAGATGTCATAGTCTGAGTCTTGGCAGCCATCTTGAGTCACTGGGAGGAAGTCATCTGTTGAACATGACAGTCACCCACAAGAAGGTGGCTGAGTTCTGGATCATGGGATCACCACATTGGCTCCAGACCACCTACCTACTCCTGGATATTGTCAACAAGAAATTGACGTTATTCTTTGTGAATTTGGGTTATCTGACATTTGTAGCCACACCAAGTGCTAACTGGCGCAATCTAACACAGGGAGGAAAAAAAGCGATACAAGGAAAAGATAACACAAAAAAATGGATACCCCAATTATGTAAGTTCTATGCTGGGAGAGGGGCTGGACTGTCAATAACTCTTTTCCTCCTCTGCGTGTTAGTTCTGCTCCTGAATCCATCAGGACAGGCTTCCTTGAATTGTTGACAAGGACCTCCCCAGTCCCTGGAGACTTCAAAGCACCCAAGTGAGTCTCTTTTTGTTTCTCTTTAGTATTTATTTTTATTTTTATTTTATGTGTCTTGCGTGGATACGCACCAGTGTGCAGGTGCCTGCTGAGGCCAGCAGAGGGTGATGGATCCCCTGGAGCTGGGTTAGAAGCAGCTGTGAGACACCCATACAGATGCTAGGAACTGAACCAGGGTCCTCTGCCAGAGCAGTGCTTGCTCTTAACTGCCCAGCCATTTCCCTGGTCCTCTATCATAGGAGTTTTTACTCCTAGTGTTTCTTGTGGGTGCACAGGAAGAGAGTACCTCAGGACATTAGCTGACAGGCAGTCATCTCTGTCAGACAGGCTGTGGAGGGTCTCATGTCAGGAAAGCTACTTCTCTTCCCCTCACAGCTCCAAGGCCAGAATCACAGAGCTGGGACCCCACTATGGAGAAGAGCAGGTGGGTGCCACCACTTGCCCAGATGGCAAAACCTGGGCTCGGATTGTGCTAATGATTGCCACAGACATGTGGTGTAATTTATTAGCATGAGCACTTGTGAAAGAATGTTGAGAAATTTTCCTTTCAGAAAGGAAAAGAACACCCTACTTTCCATAGCCCTTCACACTCCTGCCACTGTACACGCCTGGGTGGGGGTGGGGCAGGCATGGACCCTTGGGGCTTCAGTAATACTTATGAGCTTTCCTTAGGGCTGGTCCCAGAACTGTGTGACCACAGGAATCAGTGATGTCCTCTGACATGCTCAAGTGGGCTAGACTTTGTACAGCCTAACCAAGTCCTCCCAAGCATGCAAGGTCCCTCCTGGTATTTTACTAACTCATTGGATCATCACAGACAAACCTTGAGGTCACTACTATGGTTCCCATGTCACAGACCACGAGACTGACTTGTGACTTCACAACAGTTTGAATGGGGGGTGGGGAGAAGCAGCAGGATAATTCCCGCAACCTCTTCTCATCTCTCTTCTGCGATCCCCAGGTAGCAGAAACTCCCACACCCCCACGTCTACTTAAGATAGAGCCTGAGAAATGAAGGAACGAAATGGAGAGAAATGCCCCATCCCAGTTACCCTGGGACCTGCTGAGCCTCGTGTGGCTCTGTCAGGGCAGGTATCTTGTCCCAATGGTCCCCGTCTACTTTCATTGCCACCTAGTAGAGCCCTTTTTCTGCATATGGATGAAGGACCACCGAGATCCTAACCCTGGTTCTGGGGAGATGGTTCAAGGGCAAATTGCCTGCTGTACAAACAGAAGGACTTGAGTTTGACTCCCAGAACTTGCTTCAAGCCTAGCATGAAGGCACTTGTCTGTAACCCCAGTCCTGGGGGTTAGGGACAGAGGTGGGTGGATCGTGAGAGCTGGATGGCCAGCCAATCTACCTGAAATGGTAAGCTCTGGGTTTTGTGAGAGACCTTGTCTCAAAAATTGAGGTGGAAAGAGGTAAAGGTAGACTGAATAAAGACTTCCGGTCTTCATGTGTTCACATGTGTGAGCATGCCACACATTAATTAAACACATTAATAAAAAGATCTTGACATCCCTCACTCTTGTGCCAGATTTACCTCCCTATGCCCCCCTCCTGGGCTGGTTACTGCCCCATATTATAAGCTACACAGGGAGGGAGAAAGATGAGCTAATGATGGTTGGGCAGGAGACAGATTACCAGAGAAGCCAGCCTAGAGAAGTGGACAGAGGCAAGAGAAAAGAGACAAGAGACAGGCAAAGACCCGAGTGTCATGGGTCAGAAGTCCCCTTGTTACAGAGCCCTTCCAGACTGCCCTTTCAAGAACAGCATCCCTCTATGGACCTCCCTTGCCCCCAAAGCGTCCATCCCTACTTGTGGCTAGACTAGGCAGTGTGCATACATGGACACAGTGTGTGCTCAAACAGCTCCTGGGGCACCCACACCATCATACCAGTCCAGCATTGTCTCTATGACTTTGGAGCTGATGGTCTGGCTGCAGCAAGGTCTCCATGGTGGGCTAACTCTCAGAAGGCATCCAGAGGCATCCAAGTGCTTCTCCCACGAAGCAGGCCACTCTCTGACTGGACCCCACACCCAGAGCCCTGCCTCTGTGATTTGTTTTGAGATAGAGACTTCCTGTAGCCCAGGCTAGCCTCAGCCTGGAAATCCTCCTGCCTTGGTGAATCTGGCTGGGAGGCAGAGCCACAGCCCATTCTGGGGGCAAATATGTGCAGAGACGAGTCCTGGGTACCTGACCTGGTCACTGGTATGCTGGAACATGATACATCTTGGCCACTAGAGGATATTTTTTGGGGGGAGCCGGGACCTTATATTTTAAATTAACATACAGTGAAATCGATCTCATTTTTGTCTAATTTTATGAATTTTAATAGTCATCGATTCATGCCACCGCCATGACAGTGAGAAAGACATTCTGTCACCCAGGAAAACTGCCTCCATCACCCCTTTGCTCAGGATGGGGCCCTGGAGGGAGCCATGGCAAAAGAGGGCCTCCACAGGGTGTTTGTGCAGAAGCTCCTGTGTAGCCTCCCAGGAGCAGTGTCCCCTTGCTGGGGAGGAGGATTCCCTGCCTCCTTTTTGGACAGGTTCCAAGCCTGCTTTTTCAAATTGCCCCCCCCCTCCCGTGGGAGCTTGTTCTAGAAGCCTGGCTCTTTCTGTTCCTCCGGATCAATTTCTTTCTCACCTGAGTTGCATAGAGTTTTGCTTATTTTTTGTGGGTTTTATCATTTACATTCTGAATGCCGGGGCCCTGAGGAATTCGGATGGAGTGGTGCAAGAAATGAGGGGAACCCCCCAGATCAGAGATAAATGGGAGCTTTCAAGTATTTCCTAGAAAAAACAAAACAAAACAAAATAAAAACCCAGCCCCAGGGTCCCCGGCTGAGGTGGCCCTTGCCACCTGCAGCCTGCCCCACCTGCTTCTAGCAGCCCCACCGCTCTGGCCTGCTTGGTCCCAGGCCGGGCCAAAGCCAAATACACCACCTTTCCCTCCGCTCAGTCTGGGAGCCCCATTGGGGATGTGGGGAGGGGATGATTCGCAACTTGGGCCCCCTGCGGGCTAGAGCCAGGCTGCGCAGGCGGAGGGGCGGGGGCGGCCGCCCAACTCCACCTCCGCGAGGTTGGCGGGAAGGTTTCCATGGAAACAGCAGCTCCCAGCATCTCCAGAGATTTGGGGAAAAACTGGTTCTAAAGAGAAAAAAATCACCATCTTCGTTTCGGGGTGGGGAGGGACAGCCCAGCTTGAAGGAGAGGGTGAGGGGACGTGGCGGGGACAGCAGGCTGGGGCTTTGTGGCCCACTCCAGCTGTCAGGTCCCCCAAACCCACAGGTCTGGCGTGGGGGCAGAGAGGAGGACTGAAGTCCTTTCTCTCTATCCACTCATAGTCGCGGTCCCTCGGTGCCCCTCCCCATGCAGCGCCCCTGCCCATCCTCCAGCCATCAGCGCACTGGCACTGTCCCGGTTTACTGCCTAGGGGGGATGAGAGGGAGACACAGGCGTGGGGACTCTTGCTGGGGAGTTAATCAAAGTGTCTGCAACTTCTCCTGCTCCTGTCCCCTCCCTAGGGAGAATCGGGAGGGGGTGGGGACCAATCTGCTCGAGACTGATGGAGGGGCTCAGCAGACCTGCTAGCCCCGAGGCATGCGCAGACACCGGATCTACAGGAGCTCTCGCCTTTTAAAATGACTTTTCCAGCAGTTTCCTCTTTGGATGGGAGACCCCTATTTCTACCAAGAATCTCCCCCAAATTACTGGTACTGTGTGAGCCCTGTTCTGGGTAAGGGACCAGCCCTGATCTTCCCGCTTTTGGAGGACGGCACACAAATAGCTCTGCATTCATTCATTCATTCACTCTCTCGTACGTCCATTTACTTGACAATGATTAACTGGGTTTATTTTGCGCCAGGCACAGGTCTTATTGCTGGTGACACAGACGGGGATTGGAGGAAGAAGTGGGTAGTAGCGAGACACACAATTCCCAAGCCTTGTGGACCTTATACTGTGTGTGGTAAGAGTCACATAATAGCTAGTGAGTAAAACACGGTTTCGAATTTAATGAACTGTCGTGGGTGGGGTGGAGGGGACACCAGAAAGAGAAACTGGTGAAGGTTTCAATTTTAAAAAGGCTCTCCCGAGTACCTTCTGGAAAGGCGATGCTCTCTCCTGCAGGGGGAGATAGAGTGAGCAGAGCAAAACAGAGCGTGTGTGCCACTCAGAAAGAGAACCACGGGCGCAAAGGCCCTGAGGCCAAAGGGTGCCCATATCGTAAAGGGAAGCAAAAGGACCGGTGTGGCTAGGATATGCAGACGAGAGAGCAGATGGGCCTGGGATGAAGACAGTGGGCTGGGGGTGGGACAGGTGTTCCGAGCCTCCTGCTGCACACACTCAGAGGTGCCTAAACTCAGGAGGACTAGGAAGACACCTGCAGTCTCACCCATGGTGTCCTGTGACCCCATTCTTGCCTCTCTGTCCCCTTCCCTGTTTGTAAACAGACTCTGAGAACTCCGTATGAGTGTGTCCATGGAGCACAATGCAGAGGGACCCCAGTCAGGGCCACACAGTCAGGTCTCAACCTTGCTCCCTCTCTCTCCCCACCCTCAGGGGCACGTGATGCCACCCACTGTAGTGCCTGCGTGTGCTCGTGTGTGTAATTAATGTGCTAACTTAACAACAGGCGGCTTTTCCTTCTCCTATCACCTCCTGGTGCAAAATAAACCGTTCAATAATTAA